AGCTCAGCCCGTCACCCCCTACAGAACCAGGCAGATCCCCAATAGAGCTCAGCCCGTCACCCCCTACAGAACCAGACAGATCCCCAATAGAGCTGAGCCCATCACCCTCCACGGAATTATCCCTCCTCCAAGGGGGCCCCCAAGTGTAGGGGTGGGAAAGGCCAGCAAAGGTCACAGAAGGTTGAGGTCCAGTGACTTTAAATTGTTTCTTTTCACACAGCAGCAGGCAGACGGGCCATCATGGGCCACCATGGGCACCTGTAGGGTGCTCCTGGGGCAGTCTGTCACACAGCACATCCACGGTCCAGAGGTCAGAAGATGGTGGCGCCTGCTGGGGCCCAGATCTCCTATTGACCACCCTGATTGTGCCTGAGTGGATGCTGGCTGCAGAGAAAGGCCATGGCCCACCCTTGACAAGCAGGGTCCAGGGAGCCTCTGGTGTCCCCGTCCCTGTTCCCAGTAAAGCCACATAAGGAGGTGACTCGGCACGCGTGGCTGTCCAGGCCCTGTGCATCCCGGGGGCAGGGGTCAGGATGTCAGGGCAGGGAGGTGTGATTGGCCCTAACTACTGCCAGAGGTGAGCCCTGCCTGCCTATCAGGGCTTCAGATCCTGGGCCACAAGGCAGTGTCCATCAAGGACAGTGGACAGCAAAGATGTGCTAGTGCATGTCCTGAGGCACCCGGTACCTGTGGCCAATAGAGGACAAGGCTGCCATGGCCGAGTGAGCCCCAGGCAGCTCTAAACCAGCACCCTCACTGGAAGTATCTGAATCCCACCCACAGCACTGACAGGATTCCAAGGGAGAGGACAAGGGGGACTTGGCCCCACTGCTCCCCAGGCCTTGCTGAGGGGACAGGATGCCTATGACCAAGGATGTGGCGGTTCCCAGGGAGCAGGCCAACTGGGGAAATGCCCACTTACTATGAGACAAGAGGTTCAACAGATAACCCCCCAACTCCTCCTACCTCCCCACTGCGGGTGCTCCCTGCCCCTGGCCTTCAGAAATGCCCCCTCTGGTACCTGCCAGACAGCACCTGTGCCCCACCTTCCCGGGAGAGAATACTCACCTCACACCCTTTCCTGCCCACATGCCCCGCACTCCCCATCACATGCTCTTCCACCTCCCCTCCCCCCAGGCTCGACCACACCCCATCTCTTCCTCCCACTGGACGCCCCATCCTCACCCTGCTCCCTGCCTGCCTGCATCCCCACAGGACTGACGCTGCCCTGGCTCGCGCACCTGCCGGACGGCTTGCTGGAGCTTCTCCAGGCTGACCTCCTTGGCCTCTCGCAGCAGCGTGCACTCATCCATCTTGAGCATGGACACCCGGTACTGACACAGCTCTACCACCACCACATCCGGCTGCACCGCCCGAATGGTCTACAACGGCAGTGGGTCACGGCACAGCGGAGGGACTCCTCACCCAGTCCCCGGGGCAGGCTGGGGAGCCCAGTGCCAAACTGCCCAGATGCTGGGTTGAGATGCTCTCTTGGCTCTGGGCAGACCCACAGCCGGGGTCACCAACGGAACCCTGGTCCCCATGGTCACAGGCCCCACCTTGACAACATCCCTCTTGCTGTCATCGCTGAAGTGGGCCGTGCCCACCACGTACACGCGACTGCCGTCCTCGGCCACCAGCTCTGTCACAGTGCGAGGCAGGCTAGGCCGCTCGCGCCGCCGTTTCAGCTTCACCTCCAGCAGCAGGTTGAAGGCATCCATGTCAGCTGTGGTCAGAAGAGAGGGTCACGTGCAGCAGGGCTGGGCCCACGCTCTCCCCCAGGAGTGGGGCTGGTACCGCAGCTGCCACGGCAGTGGGGGGCCCTCAGGACTGCTGGCTCTGAGGCTCACACACAGAGGAGGAGCAGAGGGTGCGGCTCACTGCCAGCCAGGGCGTCCTCAGCTTGGGGGGCCTTCTCAGCCTGGGTGGCCTGTGCACCAGGGGACACTGAGGATGCCCGGCACCCACTCGCAGAGGGGTGCTCCTGGGCCCCTCTTGCACCCACTTGCCACAGCTCACAAGGGCACCAGGCGGACGCTGGCTCCAGTCCTGGATTGTACCTGGGGCAGGGACACTGGTGCCCATCCCACCCCTCTATACCATGAACTCGTACACAGATTCTGGGGTTCTCTGGACACTGCTCTGGCATTTGACTCTGCCGTCCCCGATGTAGCAACTGACTCAGTGGCAGCCTGTGAGAGAAGATTCCAGAATGACCAATCTGCCCTGTCCTATCCAGCAACTCTCCACGGCTCCCGGTCACTCCTGGGGGCACTGCCATGGGACTCTCCCTGGGAGCTCTCCTCACATGGAAACTTATTCAAGGGCAGACCCTCCCCCAGCCATGCAGAACCAGATCTCCCTCCCCCAGACACCTTCCTGTTGAGGTTCAGGAAGGAAAACCCCCAGGCTAGACTCCTCTCTCCTCATATCCAGGACCACTTGCTCCTCCCTCCACCCCAGCAGTCTGGGACCAGATACACTATGCCTTCACGGCTCAGGACCTGAGGACCAGACCACTCCCCTCGTTGCCCAGGACCAGACCCTCCTCCCCTGCTGCCCAGGACCAGAGCCTCCTCCCCTGCTGCCCAGGACCAGACCACTCCCCCGCTGTCCAGTACCAGACCCACTCCCCTTGCCGCCCAGGACCAGACCCTCCTCCCCTGCTGCCCAGTACCAGACCCTCCTCCCCTGCTGCCCAGGACCAGACCCTCCTCCCCTGCTGCCCAGGACCAGACCACACCCCCGCTGTCCAGTACCAGACCCTCCTCCCCTGCTGCCCAGGACCAGACCCCCTCCCCCGCTGCCCAGGACCAGATCCTCCTCCCCCACTGACCAGCATCAGTCCACTCCCCCCACTGTCCAGGACCAGACCCCTCTCCCGCTGTCCAGGACCAGACCCCTCTCCCGCTGTCCAGGGGCCCCTCGCCCACCTACCTCCTGAGGAGGCTCATCTTCCTCTCCCTCCATGGCAGCCCCCCACTGAAGAGGTGAGGCCTGAGAAAAGAAGCCGGGGCCTTATCATAGGTCTGAGGACCTGGCAGCTGGTCGAGCTCAAAGCCAAGCCAATCCCCTGCCCAGGGGTCACGGGCCGTTCAGGGGTTCAGGTCCTCTAGGTGGGGGTGAGTGGCAGCGAAGCAGGTGAGAACATCAACCAGGCCAAGAGGACAGAGGTGATCAACAGATTGACCACACCCCCATCGAACCTCTGTCCCATCAGATAGAGATGGGGGGACAACAGGGCAGGTAAAACAGGACAGGGACAGAGCCAACACCACAGCTGAGCCTGCCCAGCCTTCAAAACCATCCTGGAGAGATGAGGGGTCAACATGCAAACCAGCTGACAAGAAGTCCATGGCGGAGAAGGGCGTATGCCCTCGTCCTTCCAGAACCACCCTGCAGGTTTTGGGAAAGGCCTCCTCCAAGTCTCACTAGCAAATGAAGGGGTGTTTGGTGGCCCCGTTGCACCCTCAGAATGTGGACAGAATGCCATGTAGGGCCGAGGCCACAACTCAAAGCAGAGTGGAGGAGGCGAGGGTCCATCTGGATGGCCAGAGTCAAGGGGGAGCCCTGGCCACCTGGTGCTCACTCCCCTGGGTGAGGACTCAGGCTTGTGGCCTCCCTCCAGCCACCCCGAGCACCGGACAGAAAGGATGCAGGCTGGGCGTCATGGGCTAGTCTCTCCAGGTGTGTGGACATTACGAGAGGCATTGGGGATGCGCCTGTGGATGGGACAACTTGCCCCAGAGAAGCCGGGGCCTGCAGAGCACAGCATGACAATACTCTCAATGCCCCAGAGGGCAGTTCGGAGGGGGTCAGGACAACCACTGGCCGGTGGGAGCCAGCAATGGGGTGACTTCAGCAGGGGACACCCAGTCTTGTGGAGGAGGGCCAGGGAGCAGGGAGAGAGGCAGGCCCGGTCAGGTGTGGGCTCCACTCTGTCCCAGGCTCCATGTGGCTGCCTGGCAGGTGCTCCCTCCCCACCTGGCTTTCTAAGGTCCTCTGCCTCCCTGCACCCAGTTTTTGAAGAGCTATAAAGCTCAGGATGTCCTGGGAAGTGACAGTGGATGTGCTGGCCCCGTGCTAGCACTGGGCCAGGCTACAGGCTTCAGGACCTCCTCCTGGGGCCCTCCCAGGGCCTGTATTAAAATGCCAGAACGTGGCGAGGCCAATGACCAGGTACTCTTGGCGTCCAGCCCAGGGGCACAGACAGTCGGCTGGGCAGGATAAGCTGGCCCAAAGCCGGAAATGCAGGTCTCAAACGTCTCAGAGGCCTGGGGGTGGGGCGACAAATGGGAAGTGACCACGTAGCCCTCAGCCAGCCACGAGTAGAGGGTTGGGGAGGTGGCAGTCATGACACCACGCCCACGAGGGAGGTGTGGCCTCTGGGTTAAGCCCTGTGCCAAAGCTGACCCACACTTGGCATGGCCAGGAGGTGCAGGTGTGCCAGGGTGGAGCAAGGTCCTGGCTGCCCACACGGCCCCATGTGTGGGGGTGCGGCTGTCCCGACGCTATTGGGGACACATTATGGTCACAGGGTGCATCGTGCTGGGGGGTCGTGGAAGACAGGGAGCCACCCGGACAGGAACTCCCAGCCCCTGTCTTGCCTGGGTCTTGGGAGGAGTGGAGGCCCTTAGGTACCAGGACGTCTTGGGCTGCATCCCCTGTCCCACCCTGGTTACTGGCACACTCGAGGGTGGACACCGTTCCAGCTCAGCATGATGTATTTACAGGTTTTAGGGGGTCCTCTATCTCTACCCCAGGGGAGCCTGCAGACCTGCTACCTCCTGCACACCCAGGCTGACGTGCCCTGCTCAGCACCAGGCCCAGAATAGCCATGCACACACCTACGTGTTCTCTATGTTCTTTCAAGAAGACCCCAAGTCACAGATCCCACAGAGCCTTCTTCCTACACAGGTTTGAGGCCCAGCCCCCATCCTGGGGCTCTGCCCTCCTGGTGGGGCCAGCCCCACTCCAGGGGCCACACGCTTCTCCTGGGGCCAGTCCTTCCGCAGGGCTCCAGCTCCTCCTCACGGCACTGGGTAGCAGCACCCACCACCTGTCTCAGGAGCTGGGCACCCACTTCCGGCCTCTGAGCACCCTAGGCAGCACACCACTCTGTCCCAGTAGCTCTCCTGTCCATCCAGCTCTGCCTGGGCATGTCCACCTGGCCCTGCAGCCATCTCCCCACCACGGACCAGCCACACCATGGAGCCCTTGGCCTGTGGACGCTCCTGGGCAGTCCTGGGTGCCAGCTAGTGAACCAACTGAGCCAGGGCGGGCTGGCACAGTGGAGGGACACCTCAGGGATCCATTCAGTCACCAGGGCACAGACAGATGGTCAGCCCCTGCTTCAGGGTGGAGGGCGCCCCTCACTCTCTCCCAGGGCAAGCTGTGGGCTGTGGCCCCCCTGCGCCTGGCCAGTCTCCAGACGTCTGCTCCCAGGCAGGCAGGGTGGAGGCTCCAGCTGTGTGGCGTCTCCCAGGGGTCAGGGAGCACAGACAGCTCCTGCCTCAGCTCAGGACCCTGACTTTTGACACTGTAGTGCCCAGCAGAGACAGTGTGCGTGGAAGACTGACCCACCGTTGCCAAGAGGCTTAGGCAGGTGGATCCATCTGTATCCCTCGAGGGGTCGCTGGTAGAGAAGGGGAGGTGGGCGCCTGACCAAGGCTGGCAGGAGGGACCCCGGAGACATCCCGGGACACAGACTGGGGCAAGGTTCGCAAAAATTACAGGTCTGTGAGAGGCTTTACTGGGAACCTGCCACCTGGGGGACCCTGGCCACAGACCACAGCCTGTGTGGGTCACACCTTCCCCACCCACCAGTCTCCATGCACCACAAACTGCCTGCTGGACCCCAGCCTGGCTTCGCAGGACTGCAGATGATTTCTTAGGTGACTCTGGCTGCCTAAGGCTAAGAAAAGTCAGAAGCTCCCAAATTTCACTGACATGTAAGTGCCCACCGCCCACCCCCAGCGGCTGCTGTGTGTCCCCGGAAATGTGGACAGGGCCAGCGAAGGGTTCCAGCCGCAGCCCCCAGCCCCCGGGCGCCCAGCCCACCTGCACTCGGGCGGCCCGTCTTCCGAGAGGCGCACTTGTTTCCGATGAAGCCAGGCTTCCTCCCCCGCGCGGCAACTTTTAGAAGAAAACTCGCTGAGCGGCGCGAACGCGGCCTCCAACCCCGCAGCCGCGCCGGCCGCAGTGCGGAGAGGCCCGGCTCGTCCGTGCACCCGGAGCAGAGGCTCCGGACACCAGGGCTCCGGGGGCCCAGTCGGCTCCGAGCGGCGGGGACCGCCGGGCCTCTCCGCGGCCCGTCCTACTCCAGGCCGAGCATGCAGGGTCCGGGGAGGCGCAGGGCACGAGCGCTGCCCCCGGGCCCCCGGCATGGCCAGAGCTGACCTTCCGGCCGACGGCACCCCGGCTGCAATCCCTGCAGTGGACGCAATGGAGCGCGGCCAGAGGGCACCCCGGCCCCTAGCTCTCCCCACCTCCAGGCCCCCGGGACCCTCGCTCCCCGACCTCCCCGCCCCCTGGGACCCTTGCCCCAGGACCCCGGCCCCCGGGACCTCCGCCTCCCGGGACCCTGGCCTCCCGACCTTCCCGCCCTCCCGGGACCCCCGTTCCGGACCTTCCCGCCCCAGGACCCCGCCCCCCGGGACCCCTGCCCCCCCCCATCGCCCCGCCCCCCGGGACCCCTCCCCTCGCTCTCCCCGCCCCCCGGGGCCCCCGCTCCCCGAATCCCAGCCGCCAGTGTCCTGGGCTCCGTCCTCCCGCACTCGGGACCCCAGCCCCCTGGCCCCGCCCCTGACTCCCCTCCTCTGGTCCCGGGCCCCCGCTCGCGCGGATGCCTACCGGGCGCGAGGCTGCGGCCTCCGCGACCCCCGGCCGCCCTGCAACCCCGGCCCGGCGGCGTATCCCGGCGGCGGCGAGCCTCAGCCGGCCTCCATGCGGCCCCGGCGCCCACCGGACGTGGCTGGCCAGGTCGGCGGGGCGGGCAGCCGGGCGGGCTGAGGCCGGCGCCGCGCGGCATGCTGGGAAACGCAGTCCCACGCGCCGCCCGCCCGCCCTGGAAGCAGTACCGGCTGCGGCCGTGGACTACACTTCCCAGGGGGCTGCGCGCGAACGGCACCGCCCGCCCCGCTGGCGTCCCAGGGTCCTAAGGGGAGCTGACAGGATGCAGGGCGGCCCGGGTTTTGAGTGTCCCCCACCTCCAGGACATTCCGCACTCCCGTCTCTGTAAAAGAGGAATGAATAATTATGCAGTGTTCACGGGACGGTTTGAGTCATATGACAAATTCAGGTGTCTCAACCACTAAAGGGACAGCCAGTAACAGGTGAAAAAGAATTAGAAACCGATGGCAGTGGTTTCCCTTTCCTGCGAGGCACATTCTCCCGCCCTCGGGGACCGCCTCTGACCTCCCTCACTGACCTACGGGGGGCTGACATGTGGGGGGGGTCGAGTGTGACCGAGGAGGGACGGGCGTAGTGGGCAGAATCGCGCGCCAGCTGGGCTGGTGACCTGGGCCAGCTTGGGGGGCTGGGGGACACCTGCCCTGGGGTCCGCGGTCTTGCACCGGGTCCCCTAGATTCGAAGGAACCCGAGCATCAGTGTAAGGGTGTCGAGACAGTGCAGACCCGCAGACCCGGCGCGGCAGAGCTGGCGGAGACGACCAACCCAGCGGGAGGGGCCGGTCAGAGAAGGGCCACTGGCCACGCAACTGGTCAGCCCCACCGGGGTCAGTGAGAGGCCTGGAGTTCCCATTAGGAAGGTGGCAGTGGGGCACTGTCGGCAGATTAGGGACGAGATGGCGGGAAGAAGGGGCAGACGACGGTGGGGGAACCAGGTGGGGCGGAGGCGGGAGTGGGAGGAGACCAGGTAGGGAGACCAGGTGGAGGTAGGAGGACCAGGTGGAGCCGGGGGACAGTGGGGCTGGGAAGATCAGATAGGGGGGTGGAGAGCGAGGGGCGGG